GGCGGCCTGCGCTGCTCTGCCTTAACTTGCTTCACTGCGGCAGAGGGAAGCAGAGTGCCCCAGCCCCGGAGGGCTTTGCTTCCCCCCGCTGCGGAGAAGCAGAAGGCAGCAGGCTGGGAGGGGATGGGGCAGAGCGGAGCAGACTGCTGGCTCCTGCTGTCATGGTGAGTGTGGGAGGGGGGCTGACCCCTGCTGCTGCCTGGCACTGGCCCCCCCCGCCCCCCCGCCCCCCCCGGAATCCTACCGCTCACGTTGCTTGGAGGAGGGCGCTTGGCAAGCAGGCGGGAAGGGGTGGGGTGGGGTTTGAGGGAAGGGGTGGACTATACTGGACTTCAAGTACCAATGCACAGAATTGCTCTGCTCATCAGTAACCCTTCGTAAAATGGGGATTCTCTTTCCTTTCTCCTCTCTTTGTCTGGTCCAGCTAGATTGTGAGCTCCTTAACTATGTATATTTCCTGTGTGTCACACCATCCATTCAGTGTGAGCTCCTTAACTATGTATATTTCCCGTGTCACACACCATCCATTCATGACATTGGTTGTGCCTTCTGGATACTTTTTCAGTAAAATTCCTTTACTGACTTGTTCTGTGGCAGAATACCTGCAAGCATCAGCAGTATCACGCCTCCCTTTCCCACCAGACTGAAGCAAATCATTTAGCACTTCAGTGTGTATGTCATTTCCATTGTGAGTGCTTATCGGAGATGTCAAAACATAAAGTTTTGAAATTTTTTAGTGGGGGAGAAAGGGAAACAGTTTGTGTGAACATTTCCACAAAACCCCCTTTCATATTCTGGGGAATCCTAGTGCTGATTCATGAGTCCTGTGGTCTTTCACAGTTTACAGCTGTTCACTAACGAGGACTTGCAATTTGTCAAATGTACGGATGAACTGACCAACTTTAAATATGCTGTAATACAGGTATGCTTTTTGCAACTGCTTGTGCTGGTCAGTCCATGGAACTATTGCAAATCTGAAGTGTACATGTGCCCCAGGAAAAGAAGAAATAGTTTGGCCCTATAGTTGTAGCCCAAAGGAGAGGTTTTGGGTAGATTGAAAGAGCATGCTTGAAAAATTTAATTTCAAGTTCAACTATAGTAAGTTAGTAATTAACTAAATTACTATAGTTAATTCACTATAGTAAATTAACAGGGATTACTTTGGGTCAGTTCTTGTTTTTTCCAGTTCTGGGCCCTTCAATATCAGAAAGATGCAGTCAAATTTCAGGGAATTTAGAGTACAACAGATGACTAAGGAGCGGAAGGAACTGATTTATGAGGAAAGAATAGGAGACCTAATTTTGTACAGGTTGGCCAAATGTCAGCAAAATAGGAAAATAACTGTCTACCAATATCTGAAGAGTGTAAATACTAAGAATGGAGAGTAACTTTTTTTTTCTTACAAAAGAACAAAGGAGGGATACTACCAGGAGTAATGGGGTGATATAGAAAAAAGAAAAAAAATAGCTTAAATATCAAGAAAAGATTCCTGACAGGGAGTTTTATTAGTCTGTGAAATTGACTCCCAAGGGAAGTGGTGGGAGCCCAAAGGTTGAGACATTTAAAATTGGCTGAGAAAAATGTCAGAAAATAGACTTTAGGGAATAATCCTGAACTGCTTTGAGGATGGGGGATTGATCTAATATATCTTTTTCCATTTCTGTCTTTCATAATGTTATGTTTCACTAAATGACACCCTCGTTTCTGTACGTTGGCTTACCTAAGAGATGTCTTTCAGGCCCTTCATGAAAGCTCGTTTATTTCACAGCTTGAATAGCTTTTGTTCTGTGGCAGAATACCTGCAAGCATCAGCAAGATTATGTTATGTGGCCGCATGCCCACCTGGCCTGTTGCCCTTTACTGTGAACTACCATTAAGATCATTTGGTTTCAGAGAATGGGGAAATCTGAACATAATTTGGGTAATCTTAAAATGCATCAAGAGAGTTTTTTTAAACAAAACAAAACAAAAAGTATCTCTTCTTTCTGCTTTCTAGCATTTTTAAAGACTTAAACTATTTAACAGATGACTTGTGTCCTGAGACTATGAAGGGAAAGAAGAAAAAAGTCTTAAAAGGTTTTTTGAAATGGGACATTACTCTAATGCTTGGAAAAGCCGCTTTTAAAAAAAAGGATTTTACGACTCCCTTGCTTAAAGGCTTGTTACCAGTAGAATTTTTAAACATAAAGCCTGTTAAACTTTATGGGACTCTTGTTCACTAATTTTATAACTTCAGTTAATTCTCAGGCTCGCATGAGGTGTCAGGTCTGTCAGCTGTGAGAGGGAGGATTAGAAAGCAAGTCAGAATGAATTTTTTCCCCAATGTTTCTCATTTGTTGTCAGTGGCCTTTCAGCAGAGTACTCCTCCAGTACAGCTGCTGTGTGACATCATGGTGTAGACTAGAAATCCCCACAGACATTTGCTATGTAAGTTGCTGAGATGTATTTGAATCTTACAGGGTATCAGTTGTTTGCTTTTAACCATTTTAGTGACTCCTGCAAGGTACTTTATAGACAAAGTTATATAATTTTAGAGTCTTTTAAAGATATTTCTTTTGGATAAGCACAGACAACCTATAAATATCTGTTATATATAATATGCTATTGTCTACTATACCAGATTAATGTAGTAGTTTGTGTATTGTCAGTATAAAATGAACTAGGGAGGAAATTTAGAATGGATGAATTGTCATAAATCCTATAGGGTTAACAGTGGAAATGATGGGGAGATGGGCATGGTATAATCTCATTACCATCCAGGTTCCTGACATGACATCTGATGTAGTCCCTGGCATAAAAGGATCCCTTTTTGGCTTCTTTTTTTTTGCGGGGGAGCATTTTCAGTTCATAAATGGGTAGAAAACTCTATTTCACAGAGAACAATATAAGGTACTGCTAGGCTTGGTCTCTGATATTTATTATTTAAGTGATTTATTTATATATCATACAAGTTGACAGAAAATTAGTCTAAGGTTATCCTTTCTGTTTACTTCCTTTTGTGCAGAGGTTTTATATCTATGAATAAGCTGTCTTTATGGTTGACATGCATCTTAGGTTGTTCCCCTCCTCTTCCCATATACAGGAGGGCTATGTCTACACTGGCATGGTTTTCCACAAATGCTTTTAACAGAAAAGTTTTCCATTAAAAGCATTTGTGGAAAAGAGCATCTAGATTGGCACGGACGCTATTCCGCAAAAGCACTTTTTAAAGTGCAATCTAGACGCGCTTTTGTGCAAAAAAGCCCTGATCGCCATTTTCACGATCGGGGCTTTTTTGCGCAAAACAAATCTGAGCTGTTTACACTGGCCCTTTTGCACAAAAGCTTTTGCGCAAAAGGACTTTTGCCCGAATGGGAGCAGCATAGTATTTCCACAAGAAGCACTGATTTCTTACATGAGATCGTCAGCGTTCTTGCGGAAATTCAAACGGACAGTGTGGACAGCTGGCAAGTTTTTCCGCAAAAGCACATGCTTTTGCGGAAAAACTTGCCAGTCTAGATGCAGCCTATGGCTATGTCTACACTGCCAGGTTCTTGCGCAAGAACATGTCCACACAGCCATGTGCTTTTGCGCAAGAGCATCCATGGCAATGTGGACGCTCTCTTGCGCAGGAAAGCTCTGATGGCCATTTTAGCCATAGGGCTTTTTTGCACAAGAAACCCCTGCCTCACATCCACATTGCTTTCTTGCACAAGAGCTTCTGTGCAAGAGGGCTTACACCAGTTAGAAAAGAGCGTAGCTCTTGCGCAAGAAGCCTTCTCTTCCCACACTTTACTGTAAATTTTCTTGCGCAAGAGCGGGCGGGCCGTGTGGACTTTCTGTGGGTTCTTGCACAAGAACCTGCCCGTGTAGGCATAACCTAAGGGCTCGTCTACATTGGCCCCTTTTCTGGAAGGGGCATGGTAATTTTTGAAATCGCAATAGGGAAATGCGCGGGGGATTTAAATAAAAATGTCCGCCACTTTTTTCCGGCTTTTAGAAAAGCCGGAAAAGAGCGTCTACACTGGCCCCGATCCTCCGGAAAAAGCGCCCTTTTCCAGAGGATCTTATTCCTACTTCAAAGTAGGCCAAAAAAGCGGCGGACATTTTTATTTAAATGCCGCGGGGGATATTTAAATCCCTCGCGCATTTCCCTATTGCGATTTCAAAAATTACCATGCCCCTTCCAGAAAAGGGGCCAATGTAGACGTAGCCTAAGTGTTTATAATCAGTAGCGTTAAAATGGGGGAGGCACATGGTAGAAGGTCACAATTTTTAGATTTATAGTTAGTGCAGTCCTCCATCCTCACCCATCTGATGATAAAGTAAAAGTCTCCAAAGTTGGTTAGTTTGCTGATTAAATCTGCAACAGAAGCACTCTTTTTACTCTAAATAGTCTCAGTCCTAATAATAAAAAAACTACACTGATAGTGAATCAGCTTTGACAATTATGACATTAAACTTCACTTCTCTGACTAAGGCTACTTTCAAGTGAAATTAACTTTTAGATGTGACAGGTTCTTGTGGTTGATTCTAACAGTGGATGTCTCTTCGAAAACTGTTCTTGTCTATGCTGTCTTTTCTTGTTATAGTGGGTTTCTAAGATCATTTTTATCCCTGTAAAACTAGAACCCAGCCTGAGCCACAAAAATTTGTATGTTAAAAGAAAAATTGTTGATCGTTATAAGTTTTGGCATTCCCTAAAAATTGTAGGTCATCTACCTAATGAAAATATTTGTGTGCGTGCTGGATGTGTCTGAGCACAGGACAGGGAAGAGTCAAAAGCAGAGATTTAAGATTTGTTTAGTTGCATATATAGGCAATGTCCCTACAACCAGCACTGGAAGAAAAGTGATAGACACAGATGTTTGTGTATCTGACTGTACACAGCAGAAGGAGTTTCAGATGAAAGCTCTTTATACTGCACAATTGGACTTTTCAACATGACCAATATTTAAGATTTGTGTCTCCCTGAATGGCCATCTTAAGAGATTTAGTTGAATGGAACAGCTTTATTGTGGGTGAAATACTGGCCTCATTAAAGTCAGTGATGATAGGATTTGTGTGTGTATGTGCGCACAAAACCTACTTCTGTATGTAAAGCCTATGTAGAGGGGATCAACATAAACAAAAATCATCTAACAAATATCTTAATTTCTTCCTTAATTACTATTTTTATATAACGTCTTCTCTGATGTTAAGTTATTTTTGTGGGGAGAAAAATGTTGCATCCAAACAGGGAACTTGTATTTAAAAGTTTGCCCCGCATGCATTAAAATAAATGAGTAATAAGCCCATTAGAAGAGACACTGACTCTTGAGACACTAGAAGAGATACTGACACTGACTGCAAATTCTGCTCAGATGTGCGTAAAACATTCCCTTTGTGACAGCAAAACTGAGTTACAGTTTTTCAGGCTTCAGAAGAAGTTTTTAAAAATTTGGGTTTTTTCACCTCTCAAAATTATGTGTGAACATGAATGACAGATTGAGAGCAAAAAGAGCTCCCTCCCCACACCTGAGATTAATCATTGCCAAGCAAAAATCAATGCTTTTTTGAAATTCAACGCCTTATGAACAATGGCCGTGCTAGGCACCATGTGTAAGAAATGGGTTTAGAGCGCAGATAAAAGCAGAGGTCTTTGCCTGGCTGCCGGCTCTATTTAACAGTTCAGTCCCCTACAAATACATGCCTACAGCTTCCCTCCATCCCATCTTACTTTTATAATTTGTAATTCATAATAGAAATAAGACTGTCCAGACCTTTGGTCTCATGCCTTGTTAGGCACCTAAAACAATAATGAGTTGCCCAGAAATTCTTCTTAGGGAAACATAACATTATGAAAGACAGAAATGGAAAAAGATATATTAGATCAATCCCCCATCCTCAAAGCAGTTCAGGATTATTCCCTAAAGTTTATGTCTTCATGCTTCTTTCAAAGACACTGGACACCTTAGCAGCAGAGGACAATGCCATATTTGAAGTTAATTGGATAAATTAAGCATGAGCGGCTTTAAATCTGAATTTTAAAGGGCTTTGTGCTAGTAGTCTGCAGTCTGTCTCTTCTTTTAAAGTGAGGCCTTCAGTTTATCTTGATTTCATTTATTTAAGTCATTTAAAACCTAATGTAGAGTAAACCACGTCTGTGTTCACTCTTCTCTTTTGTTGAAAGCAACCTGCCAACATCATCCATCCTTTTTTTTCCCTGTGGCAGGAAAATAAAAAAACATTTTCTAAATCAAGATAAAAGCATGATGGCTTGAAAAGTGGAGATGATAAACCATGTTATTTGTAGCAACGTTAATGCTATTCGCTCATCTCTTCAGTCGGAAATTCCATTAGCCACTCACTGCCCTTTGCACCAGGATGGTAACAAATAAGAAATTTTGCACATACCTTTACAACTAACTTTATCCCTGTTTCAAATGGCTTTGAAGCACTCTCTATCTCAGATTACTAAGTCTATGAAAGGACATTTAGAAGAGGATGGCTATTATGGCCTGGAAGCTGAAATGTACAGACATTTATGTTCTGAAAACCAGATTTTGTGAATCTGACCCTGTAGAACCGTGGTCACCAACCAGTAGATCGCGATCTACCGGTAGATCTCAGGGGCTCCAAGAGTAGCTCTTGAGCCCTCTCTGAACTGTGCACCTGCGCAGTGCATTTACATTAGATTTCCTCATGTAATGTAGGCGGGGCTTCAAGGAAGGGGCAGGGCAGTAGATCTTCGCCTGTTCTGAGACTTAAAAAGTGATCTTGGGTGTTAAAAGGTTGGAGACCACTGCTGTAGAACATACCTTTTTGCTCAAGGGTAGCCTTGTAAGCCAGCAATAACATTTTAGCATTGAATATTGGCGTAATACAATTCAAATTCATAGCAGAGAACCCCTGACATCAGTGATTGGAACTCAATGGTTTTTCCTCAGGATTTGGTTGAAAAAGGACCCAGAACAAAACCCTACTTGTCACAAGTGCTAAAAATAAAGCAACTAGTGTGTTTTTTAGAGGGCCAAACCATCAGTCATCCATTGACGTGCCTTTCTATTCAAGCCCCAAACACCTTGAACTCTTGGGCTATGTCTACACTCGCGGCTTCTTACGCGAGTAATATGCAAATGAGGCTAAGCATGGAATATCGCTGAGCCTCATTTGCATACCTAATGATCCACCATTTTTTTCAGAAGAGGCTCTTGCGCAAGAAGGAGCGTCTACACTGCCCCTTTTTGCGCAAGAAAAACCATGTTGCGCAATGCCGTTCTGCCCCTCAAGTAATAGGTGTAACGGCATTGCGCAAGAGGGGTTTTCTTGCGCAAGAAGAGGCAGTGTAAATGCTCCTGCTTGCGCAAGAGCCTCTTCTGAAAAAAATGGTGGCTCATTAGGTATGCAAATGAGGCTCAGCGATATTCCACGCTTAGCCTCATTTGCATATTACTTGCACAAGAAGCCGCGAGTGTAGACATAGCCTTGGTGTTTTGGATGCAATGGGACCCAAATTCAAAGCAGCACTGCAAAATCAAAGCCAGTGGCACTTTTCCCTGTCTTGCTTCCACACGTGTTCAGATTGTGGTACTGCCCTGGAATGTGGCTTTTAAAAGTTTGTCTCCAATCATTTTTATATCCAATTTATTCATTTACAGGTGTCCCCGCTGATGCTCAAGTATTGGGAAGTGGGAAGAGAGCCATGGCGGGGAGTTTCATGACTGTAGAAGGAAACGCATCCTCTGGAAAGGTATGTGAGAGGTTCTACTCCTGATGCACAAGGAGAGGAACTCATCTAACCAGTGGACTAGAAGCAGAAAATAATGGGAAAAAATTAAACTGAGATGCTTTATTCTGCAGTTGAATTTTGGAACACTTTGGGCCAGATTCTCAGCTGGTGTAAACTGTCATAGTTCTACTGATGTAAGTGGATATGCCCCAGCTGAGGGTCTGGGCCTCTATGAGTGTCAGTTCTATATGAACCTGCTTGTTTCTGACGTCTCTACATCTGGACTCGTTAGTGACACTGCCATTGTTAAGACAAAGGAAATGCAATAAAAGCTAGTTAGGTAACAACCACAAACCAGACAAATTAGGCTAACGTTGTGTACTTTGGGACACCTGTGTTTCAGGACACACGGAGAGCAGATCCTGTTGGCTGTATTAAAAAAGAGACAAATGAGCGCAAACAAGTGAAATGTTTTCCAGATGAGGGGGATAAATCCTGGGGGCTAAATCTTGAGCATTGTTCAGTACCTGCCAAGCTCCCACTGAAATCACTGCTAGCTGGGACTACTAAACACTTCGGTGTTTACCCCTACATTGTTACAGAAACATTGCACTCTGTGTTCTGGGATATCATTTATATTTGGGACTTTTTTTTTATTGTTACATGCTAAACACACTTTTTTTAACTGGTTTGCCATATGTTCCAAAACCCAAGGCTATTGTGTGCAGAATTTTGCTTTTCCACCTGCCCAACGTCTCTACTCTAAGTTAACAGAATTTCAAACAGAGATGGAGAAACCAGTTGCAACAAAATAAGGCTGATCATCTCCACCCACTGTGGCAAGGTCCCTTCTTTCATGTACTGGGACGCCAACCCCACCCCTCCAACAGGGGAAGCTTTTAAAAGGTCTCAGGCAGCCCTGAGTGGAATCAGCTGACCCTAACTGGTCCAAGGTAGCACTGTCTCAGCTGATCCTACTTTGCCTGAGATAACCCCTTGTCAGCTGATCCTGACTGACTTGAGGTAATCCACTTCCATTTAACAGGAGAGCGGGCCATTCACCCTTCTAGGGCTGCCTTTTCCCCACTCTGCTGCATCCCTCTGGCCCGTCTTTGTCACACCAGCCACTCACCAGTTTTGGATCTGATACTGTTCTATCAAAAAGAATGGGACTTTGGAGCTTGATCCAGTCCCTACTAAGATCAATGGGAGTCTTTCCACTGACTTCAGTGAGTTTTGAATTATACAATTAAATCATCAATTGTAATGTGAGCTATTTTTGATATCTTAAATGCTAATTCCAATGGAGCATACTTTGACCTTGAGAACCACCAAGCTTATCCATTTTTTTCCATTTTCATATGCCTCTGTCCTTCCTCATCTTGTCAGAGACAGGAAGTGTTAGAAGTATCACATGGACAGGGAAGTATGTTGAGAAGAAAGAATTACTGGAACTCTTACAAAGTCTTCTCTCTGAATTTCTTACCCAATTTGCAGACCTAAGCATATGACAGAAGCAAAATCACACTTGTGGCTGCTTATCCCTATGGATTCCAGTCTCTAAATCTTCTGGGATTCACCCATCCATGATTGTAAAACAGCATGGATAACGTGAAGGCATCTAATAAAATTTGTGGTCAAAATTCTCTCATCATCGCCACAAAAACTGAGGTTTGACATTTTACAAAGAAGCAGCACATGAAGAGAAAAGAAGGTCCACAGTTCTTTCCAAGCCAAGATTCTTATGCTTACCTGATTTTTTTTTTCAAAATAAAAACAGAAAATATTTCCAAGCATGGTTTGAAGAGGTTACACTGAACAGAAATATCCTTTAAAGCTGACTAAGCTTCTCAGTAGGGTAGCTGGTTGTCACAAATTTTGCTTTATCTTATAATGTATAAATCAATATAGTTGCTAGGACTGAATGGAAAGCAACAATACCGTTTCACAAAATATATCCACAATTTCTAATGTTTTTTTTTCTAATGCAGCATAAAAACAAATAAAAAAGGCAAGTCGTACTAATCCTATCACCTTGGGATGGCCAGTAGTCTGGTGGTTAGTGAAGCTCAGCTGGATGTAGCAGACCCAATTTCAAATCCCTGAATCAGGCAGAACAAGAACTCAAACCCATGTCCTAGCTGAGAACCCTAGACCCTGGGCTATTGGCTCGGTGGGTAGGATGGTCTCCCCGTACCATTATTCCCTCATGTTGGACCAGAGAAACTTTCCCAGCATTTTTTTTTGTCAGAACTGATACATTTCCACAAAATAGTTAGGCTTTGATTAAATTGAATTTTTAATGGAAAAAAGTTTAATTAAAAATATTTTGGCCCACTCTATTAAAGCAGCTATAAACTACCACACTTGCATGGATCGGTGGGGGTTGCCCAATTAGCTTTCACCATCATGAGAAAAGCTTAATTTAGCTATTGCTGTTTTTCATCATTACATTATCTATTGAAGATATCGTAATGAGCTAGGTTGGAGCTGGTTGAAATCTTTGAAAATTTCGTAGGTTCTGTTCATGGAAAATTTTCAGACTTCTTTTGTGAAAAATTTCTCATCCTTTTCCAACTAGTGCTGCACAAGTGTTAAAGTATACCCTGGACTTCCTATATTTAAGCCCAATATTTTCCCCTTCTATCTTTTTGATAGAATGAAACAATTTGTCTGAAAATTTGTATGGCTAAAACAGACAAAAAGATTTTTTCCTCAGAATACAGAAGCAGGAATATTTCCCCAAAATAGGTCTTGATTAAGTAAAATATGTAAACAAACGCTTACCTTTAAGCACATGCTTATCTGCTTTGCTGAACTGGATTCCTAATGCTTTCTTCCGAATTAACTGTTTGGGGAGTGAGTGTTAATGCTCCAGACACCTTTTTACTCCTCAGTACAGGAAATGTTTAAGGTCTCCAAATTTTACACATACGTATAAGTCTTCATTCCCAAGAGTGTATGTTAGTGTTCACTGAGCATTTTTAAAAATATATTAACGAATCTCTCATTTTGAACGGGATGTTCAACAGCTGCTTATGATTTAAAGGTTTAACAGACTGATGATTAATGTTTTAATCTCACAAAATGATAAACTTATCACTTGCTGATGAGATCAATGTTTTAAAAACACTGTGGCTTTCCAGACAAATTAATATTGTAAGTTTGAATATAAAAATAAATTGTTGTATAATTAATTGAGAAGATAATATTTAGATTGGTTTAAAAATTAGAAAACTTACTCAGTTTTTTAAAACTTATCTGGTCAGAGATTTCCAAAATATGGTTGTGTGTTGGTAAATAGCGTGCTAAGTTTGGTGTCAAAATAGTGACACCATAGTTTAAACAAAATAGTGTTTGGCCATAGCTGTTGATTTCCATTGTTTTTTTTTTATAATAGTGTGTTCAGTAGTGCATTGTCTTTGTAATATTTATTAGTGTTTAATTAATCTTCTTGTTTTGAAAAAGGTTAACGACATTTGCTTATGTGCAAAATATTAGTCAAGTGGAATTTTTGGTTTTCTTTCTTCATTTTACCAGGATATTTCTGTCTTGTTTGTGGTGGGACAATCATCAGACTTCAATGACAGGCATTGGTCATCTGACTGATTAAATATTGCATCTCTAAAGCTTAGCTCCATAGTAACTAAGCCCTACTTGTTGGTATTTTTCTTTAACTCTCTCTCTTGGTTTGCCTGCATGTTACCAAGAAGGGCGCTGAATATGACCCAGATATAGTTGCAATTTTCCTACTGCTTTCTTTTGGTGAATGTCAAGGTTTCACCAATCCTTCTTTACACAACTCTCAGGAAGATTAACTTT